CCGAGGGCGCAGGGAATAAGGCATTACTGTCTCATTCCTGATGCGGCTGCGCACAGCAGGTGCCTTTTGAGCAGCACCGGGCTCTTTGGTTTTGAAAGTATTTCGAACAGATTGGATAATGCGCCGTCGGTCACGGTCAACCGTTGAGCGGTCGGAGTGTGCGGGTTTTGGGGCCGACCTTTTCTAACCCGTCCTTCATCAGGGGAAGGCAGCATCGCTGCTCCTATAAATATGGACATGCTAGTCGCCTGGGTGAAACACCTTACTGCCTTCACACTCCTGTCGCAAAGGACACTACGGCTTTACCTCGAGACCGCCTCGTAGCACGATTACTCGTAGTACGGGGTCTCGCTGCTCTTGGTCTGCCTGCTCCCCTTTGGCCTTCGTGGCATGGTTGCACCTTGTGGAACGAAGTTCCAGCCAGTGTAGCGCGCGGGATCGCTGCAGCACTCAAGCCCGACCACCACGTCAAGGTGGCAGCTTTAGGTCGGGAGTGCTTTTTGCCTGAATCAGGCCGGATAGCTCCTTCTCCGCCTCAGAACTGCAGTCCGTTGGGCATAAACCGACACTACAAACAGGCATTGCCTTTTATGCCGAGAGGCACTGAGCTTGATTGAACAGGATAACCGGACGGGCAAAGACGACTGTTCACTGGGATCCAATCCAGAAAAGCGCCTTCAGCTCTGGGACTGTGCAAGTCCCACACCATATATTCCAAGAGTCGTCGCTTCTGGGTCACCGGACACACGGAGGGAGAAATTCGAAAGGGCTGAGTTCATCCTTGGCGTTCTGAGATGCATAACCACGCTTGGGTCTTGTATGCGTGTTCCGAAGACATAACACACTCCAATTTTAAGGGAGTACAAGGCCCCAGCAAGCATTGCTTATCTGCCAATTTGGCATAGATTACGGACATTAAAAGCTCCTATGTAGAAAGGATCTCGTGGATTTATAAGCATGTTATTTTGTTTACTGTTAATAGGCAGCGAGAAGAATAGACATCGGTGGACACCGAACTGCGCGGGCAAATGATACTTCCCGAGTGTGAAGGCCGTGGAGAGATTTTTGGTTGAGGTATCCCACTCAAAATGGACCCCCACTCAGAAGTCTGGCCCACAAGATAGTGGGATGATGTAGGGTTTTGTCTGGGGACCCTACCTCTGGCCTCTGACTTAAAAGTCTAACCCACGAGGCAGCTGACAGTATGGCTTTCTTTGAGGACCCTGCTCGGAGCCGATGACTCAATAGTCTGACCTGCTTAAAAGTAGGGCGTTGGCCTAACCCGAGGGCGCAGGGAATGAGGCATTACTGTCTCATTCCTGATGCGGCTACGCACAGCATGTGCCCTTTGAGAAGCACCGGATTCTTTGGTTTTAAAAGTATTTCGAACATATTGGACAATGCGCCGGCGGTCACGGTCAACCGTTGGGCGATCAGAATGTGCGGGTTTTTGAAGAGACCTTATCTAACCCGTCCTTCCTCGGGGGAAGGCAGCATCGCTGCTTCCGTAAATATGGATATGTTGGTCGCCCGGGTGAAACACCTTACTGCCTTCACACTCCTGTCGCAGAGGACAGTACGACTTTACCCCCAGACCGTCTCGTGGCATGATTACTCGTTACTCGCTACTCTTGGTCTGACTACCCCCCTTTATCCTTCCTGGCATGGTTGGAACTTGTGGGACAACGTTCCAGCCAGTGTAGCCCGTGGGATCATTGCACCACTCAAGCAAGACCACCAAGTCAAGGTAGCAGCTTTAGGTCGGGTCACCAGCCCTGAATAGATCCCTAGGCAGGACACAGCCGATGTGTTTCCTCAAGCATGCCAAATAGGGTACCCGAAAATTCGGGGAGCGTTACTGTGATATTAGTTAGACTCACGATATCCACATTGGCCCACATATGTTTGCGCAAACACTCGAAAGAAATCTGGATGATATTAGAGACGCCATCTATAACAAACGCCAAAGATATTTTGTGACTTGTGCAGAAAAGATGTATGGAAAGATTCAGCGGTTACACAAAGAGGGAAGCGGTAAAGAAATCACACCCACGTGGAAGGATGCAGCTCATAAGGGGCATTCGTGTTTTCATTTGTTCCACCTACTTTCTGCTACGGTAACACTGATAGATTAAATTGACCGTTGCAGCTAGTGTGCACTGAGAAATAGTTGTGTTGGTTAATGCCACTTTATGATGAATGTGTCGAAAGATCAGCGAGATGACTATAAGGAGTGCGTATTTCACGGCAAAGTAAACGCATTTAACCCCCAACTCAAGGTCAAATAACCTGGAGTCATCCAAGAAGCAACCGCGTGTGGGTATTCACGGTCATTCAAACACCTTCCGCCCAAATTATGTGATGAATTGATCATGTTGTTGTATGCGGTTTCCGGTACCTCACCAATGTGCAATAAGGAACTGATGTGGCGATTGTAAGCTGTAGTAAGCAGAAAATCATGATTCATAGAGCAATATATAACAATCGGACCACGTGAAAAAAACCTCAGTCGTAACCTGTATGTGTTTACCATAATAAACTAGAAGAAAGAGGAAGCCATAATTATGGTCTTTGAAAAGCATGTACATTTCAACCGGCGTGAGATCTATCGTACCACCAGTTACGGTGAGCTAGAAACACATCTGCCTATGAAGGTAACAATTTGCGAAATAATGCCATTGCCCGTGTAGACCAATAAAACTGTTAGTTGCAGGACACATCTTACATTTATCCGTTGCACCAGTTGGGCTAGATTCAAGCCAGATACAAAGCAGAAGTGATCAGTATGCGAGGATGAAAAAGTTCACACTCTCCGCATCCAACAAGTGAACAATACTTACGAGCCAAAAACAAACCGGTTTTACAAGTTTAGTGTAATGAATAGAGAAAGT